TCAGAGCGTTGTCGCCAGTATGAACGGTAGTGTGGTTCTAGATTCATCTGAACGAAATGTCTTGAATTTGTACGTAATGTCCACACCTATTTCAAGTCCGTAAGACCTAAAAAAAAGTGCCCTGAAATTAAATAGAGGTTGCCGATCAATAATGAGCATCCCTGAAATAAAATTATGTTCCCTTGACTTCTACGAAGCTCATCAAACTTAAATTAATTTTAAACTTCTGCGCAGATTTCAGAACTTTTCCAAGTTCCTTGTTTCTACGAATTTGTCTGAAGATCTATGAAGTTCCCTAAATTTCTACTACGTTTCCTGAACTTTTTGGAAGTCCTTGAAGTTTAACGAAGTTCTCAGAAGTTAAAGAAAAATCCCTTGGTTCATGGCCAATTTGTAGAGCCTGAAGACGTCTTATTATGCCATCGATTGAATATCGATATAATATAATGAGTGAGTCAGAAAAAAAACAGCAAAAGTTCTGGGGGGCTAGATAATTCTGGAGGGAGCCTGGCCCCTTGGCACCCCCATTAGCTACACCAATGGGAATTATGTGTCGTATTAAACGCACTACTTTACTAGGAGATGAACACCATATTTCAAAGAGCTGTAGTACTAGTCCTTTATCAAAGAACTTTGCCCTTCTGTTAGGAAGTGCTGCACAGTTGCACAATAAATGTTCAGAGATTTCTGTTTTCTCGTTACAATACCGACAATTATTATCATCGACTTTTTTTAATTAGTCTAAGATGATATTTGCCTGGACAGTGCCCTGTAATTAGTCCTAACAGTAAGTACATAGGTCTTTCTTTGAGAGACTAAGGAGGTTTTTTGTGTGTGATGCATTTGGCATCACCAACGTTCTTGATTGTCGGGCTAACAGTATTATTCCAATTACAATCTATCATAATCTTTTCTCAGTTCCCTAATTCCTTCTTCATGGAGCTGGGAGAGACCCCACAAAGTGGATCAGGTCCTAGAAATTGGTTAGATGATCCTTACCTGGCTAGTTAATCAGCCTTTTCATTACCTTCTACTCAACAGTATTGTTATCAGACAAGTGTTTAAGTAACTGAAAGCATTCCCATACTAATTCGGAAGTACATGTACATGATTTTAAAGCATTCAAATCTACATGGCTATCAGAAAAGATGCATATATTTTGTCTGTAAAAATTCGTCCTTAGATTCTCTTCAAATTTAAACTTTTCTAAGAATTTACTGAAGCTCCCAAAGTAACTAACAAGCCCGATTAGGGCCTTTTTTTGCAATATAAATCTGATATACGGTAGATATAAAATATCTTCTTCTTCGCATTTCAAGCTTATTGCTTATCGCATATTAGCTTAATGCATGAGCCGTGGAACTTTTATGCGTATAACGGTAGTATAATTGTATGGCGAAAGTATGTACAATCATACTCCTATGCCCAGGGAAGTCGAGAAACCCGAAAAATCCCTGAACCGAACCGGGAATCGAACCCAGCCACCTTCAGCATGGTCTTGCTTTATAGCTGCGCATTTACCGACTGAGATAAGGGTCGATATAAAACATGGAAGCCCATATTAACCTTATTTTCCAAAAAAGGCCCTTATCGTGTTATTAGTGGGCATCGGGGTTACGTGGGTTTCTTCAATTATTTTAATTCGCTTGAATTCTCCTAAGAATTCTCATGCAATTCACATCAGAATTGTATTAAATTTTGCTCAGGATTATCTTGAAGTTCTCCTCTAAATTCTTCAGAAAATTCGCTTGAAATTTTCCTTAAAATTATACAGAAATTCTTTTCGAGATGATCTTAAAATTATCCTCGCAATTTCGTTTGAAACTCTTCGCAGAATTTCTTTGGGATTGCACCATTAAAATGCGATTCTCTTGTTTTTTTTTTCTAGGAACCTGGAATCCTCTTCAAAATTGTCATGGAATTTTCCACAGAGCAATAGCAGATACAATTGATTTGGAATTCTAGTCAAAACTCTATTAGAGCTCATCCCAAAACTCCTTAAGACATTTTCTTTGAGATACCTTGATGTTATCTCTAGGATTCTTTCTTAAATCTGCTTTGGAAAAACAGTTCTAAAATTATCTTAATAATTCTTCGAAGTGACAACAATCTAGTCCAATACTGGTCTTGAATTTTTTCAAGGCATTTTTTTAAGAGAGCAGGAAGTATATTTTTTCCGATTTCTCGTGTCACTTTTCAAAAGGTCCTAAGTAACAAATGTATACAAATCAAGTTAAGCGATACAAACTATTGTTCTTCTATCATCGTATGTGATACAAAAACACCCATCCAAAATACTTTCATTTATTTAAGATAATCATACACACAGAGAAATGATTTTTAAATTCAAATGGATATATTTTTGGCTCTGGGCCTAATATATTTTTGGTATTGATTCAAATATATTATTCGGTTAATCCAAAGAAAAATATTTTTGAATCAACAAACTGGTTGTAGAGTCAATAATCTGTTTGTTGATTCTAAAAACCATTTTGTTGATTCAAAAATATGTTTCGTTAAAATAGTGATACAATATGTTTGAATCAATAACAAAATACATTAGGCCCTGAAATAAAAATCCATTTTTCTGCGTGTAGGTCAACAATTGTCCAATGTACAGTTTGAAATGATGGGTACATGATTGTTACTTCGGTCATTCGGACTGCCTAACATGATTGGTGCTCATTTTCTAAAGGCTGGGCCAATCTAAAGTGAGGTACTCTACTCTGAAATCTGTGAAAGGGAATCTAGTATCATGTAGAACAAAACGTCCAATATAACACTCATTGATTATGTCATTGAGAAAATCGTCCAATGTAACATGTCCGATGTACACCTTGACGAGTCAAAACATCCAATGTGATTTTGTGTTTTTTTTTCTATATTGTAGCATGAAGTTCAAAGTAAAATGGTGATTTTACCGTTTCTACTGAATTTTCTAATAACGTTGACTGACTACATTAGAAATAGTATTGCAAAACGTATTGTTTCTAAACAGTTAAAATAATAATCTGTCGAGCTTCAACTTCAATTTTCTCAAAATGGTTGAAAAGTGACGCGAGATTTGTCATTGAAGTTGCCGGTTTTTTCTCGGTGACTTCGAATTCCCGAACTTTCTCAGTTTTCCCGGTTCATTGGTACCCTGCTTTAATACAAATAATGGAATATTTTGACTTTAAATGATGTTTATTCCTTGTATTTGTGTGGTTAACATATTTGAATTCACAAGTGACACAGACGTGTCTCTTCATCTTTAATTAGTTTGAAATTTGTTTATTTATTGTTGAATTTCCTAATCCTATCAGGCCTATTTTGAGCATTCCCACCTTGGTGGGTCTAATAATGGAATGTTATCTTCTTATATTTATTAAAGAAAGGAATATTGTCTTCTCCGAATATCACTACTTTTATATCATGATCTCCTCAAGCAATATGAAGCAACACCTCATGTTCAAATTTTGATCTCATCTCATCTTTAAGATGGGAAATTACCTAATTGATCATGATCATGATCTGTTCCTTCAATGATAGAAATAATACAAATTATTATTTTACACCAAACCTGCCACTCAGGATGCCGAAACCGGAGGAAGTATTGGAGCAGCCCGAACCGCCATCCGGAAGCTTGGATAGGACCGGAAGATCACCCAAGCTTTCGCCAATAAGAGTAGTGCCTCTGTCCGAGATTTGACCAAAAGCTGTAAACATTGACCAAATGATAACCAAACAGCAATGGTAATCTATTGTCTTACGGATTTTGTGGTTAGCTCCGTCAATACTCGTTCGGACTGTCGCGGGGAGAAAGGGTTAGGTTCTCGCTCCCATCGGTCAATCTTTTCGTCAACATTAATTGTCTACCCGGTTGTTGGAATGGCAATTTAAGTTGACAATATTAGAACAAGTAGAACAAAGTCGATTAGGTTGTTAATATTTTAAGAAGGTTATAGATAGTAGTCAGACGAACTGCACGCCTGTTCGTCCAATGGGTTCTTCAATAGATTCAATAAAAAAAATCTACGCTTCAAGTTTTAATCATTCTTTAAACAGGATTCTTACATAAAGATAACTGAAATAATGCCCCCCTCAGATGTAAATAGTGAACAATTTTCTGAAAATCATCTTCCTGTACAGACAGTATTTTTCTTCTCAGTATAGAGACAGTTCTCAGTTTATCGGATGGTTACAGTCATGTATTATAGGTAAGAAAACACAAGTGAATGGATTAGGAAAAACCAAATTAAAAAAAAAAAACAGCATTCAGTGCAGCAGCAGCAGCAGTCAGCCAGCAGTAGCAAGCAATTCCCAGTTGGACCTCTGGTACTAAAGCTTTAGAAGATACCGTGTTACAAACTCAACATTCTACAGCTAGAATACCAAAGATTCAGCCGGAAATCATACATACGGATTACGAACGAAAGATGTTACGAAACACAACAATCACAACAACAGAAAAAAAATAGATATCGCATCAAACATCGAAAGTACAGGTGCCAAATTTACAGCGCCGCGCGCGGTGTTAGGGGATTGCGTAACCGTTTCTTGCTTTACAGGACACTTGAGCAAAATTATTAGGGTGCTTGTGTGGTAAGTAAGCCATTCTCTTCAGCAGCAACAGCGCTTCAAAACGTACACTTGCAGCAGCGGTGCAATCAATCAAGTCTTCCGGCTGGGATTGATGATGATGGTGGTAATGGTGGTTGTGTGGTAGTGGTGCTGGGAACACTTAAGCTTGCGGTTTAGCAGAGTTCAAATATTTGCAGTAAGACGATAAGGAGCAAATTACACAATGATCTTTTAAAACGAAACGAAAAAGGATTCCAGCAAAGATAGCACAGTTTTCTTCTGGGCAGAACGAAAAAAAAAAACTTGTTTAAACATTCACGAAGCATTCGAGCAAAAAATGAAAGGAAAATGTAGAATTAGTACACAGCAATGTGAGTGTGTGGGGGTGGTGAGTTTCAAAGAAAAAAAAAATAAAGGCAAACAAGAGCATCACTTACCGCCGGCCAGCATCGTGACTAGGATGATCCCGCAGGACCAGATATCGGCTGGGGTGGCCTGGTATGGTTTCAGCAGCACTTCCGGCGCCACGTAGGGCAGGGTACCGCACTTTTTGTCCAACAGCCGCTCTCGACCCTTCATTCTGCGTAGTTGTAGTAGTTGATGGTGGGATTGCGGCGAACGAAATGGGGAAATCGAGAAAAGAAACCAATCAACACTTTTCTTAGATCGTCACGTTCGGACGGGGTCACGGAAGTGTACCTACTACCTAAACATGGTGGCCATTCCGTAGTCGGAGATTTTTACGTTGTCATGCTCGTCCAGGAGAAGGTTTTCCGGCTTCAGATCCCGGTGGGCTACCCCTCGTGTGTGCAGGTAGTCCACACCGGCCAGCAGTTGGTTGAAGTAGCGCTGTGCTTCCGGGATGGGCATCCCGACGTCCGGTTCTGGAAGAGGGAGAAATAAACGGATGGTTGAGTTATTGATTGGTATGTGTTTGGTTTGAAGAATTCTTGGCAATACATCAGGGGCTACGTAGACAGTTTGTTTTGGGTAATTTTAGTTTTTCACGTGTTTGCGGAAACGGTTTGCTTTCCATCCCATATCCCACTTTACTAAGTCGCTGCTCTCCCATCACAATCCACTTCTTATTTTCTTCTTCCAATGTTTGTACGTTACTTTTCCTCATCTGTTTTTCTCCAATGTATACTAAGTCGACCCTCTTTCTTCTGTTCACAATTTAAAGTATAGGCTAACTTCAAAGGGTGGTATGTATCCCTACACTGAAAAAAGTTTTCATATAGTTTCCATTGAGAACGCACATGATATTTTTCCAATAACAAATTTAATGATTTTTATCTGAAAGTCACATAACATTCACATGATCACATGAATTCTATATGATAAATCACATAAACTTCATTGGACACATAAGGTTCATGTGATTTCGTGGTGCGATTCTCAATTATGAGATCACATGAAAGTTATGTGAAATTCTAATGGATATTTTCCATCTGAAATGTGATTTATTTTTTGAGTGTACGCAAAACATGTCCAAAGTAATAATTTTGCGGGAGTACCTTGTTTGGCATAAACGCGGGAAAAAATATAAAAGAATAATTCTAGACCAACAATTGAAATAGGCGAAACAACCAAACGTAAACAATGGATTTAAACGCAAATTTCTCGAGAATCAAAACACACCCACGCAATCCAACAATCTAACATCTGATAGCGTTAAATTCTAGATAGAGCTGCAATTAGGGCGTAACAGCTTTTGTAAAAAATGACTTCTATCGACGATTTCTAGGAACTCAAGGCATGCCCACGCAAACCAACATAACCGACGGGTAGGGGAAGTTTTCCTCTACCCGATGGTGTTGTTGATGGCTTGCCCCAACGGGACTCTCAAGGGCCTTCAGCACACTATCCTAATGATAGCCTTCCAGGTAAAGCTGGACTCCGTAACGGCCGAGAAGATGGCAGCTGCCTCAGTCGACGACGTAGGCTTAAAAAGGCCTATGCTAGTATCTAGGTTGGGGCCGAATACACCATAGCCGACTTCGTTCACTGTTTTCGAACCATCCGTATTGATGAGCTCGTACCCATTCAGCGTTGTCGCTGGTGAATGTTTATGAAAGGTTGCCGATGCTTCTGAAAGGTTATTTTCTTTTTTTGTTAAACTTCTTTGAAGCACTCTGACTAACACTCGTTCCACTGAATGTTTCCGATGTTTCCTGAGAAATATACTATACGAACACACTTTGTAGACTCTTGTTAAGATTTCTCTTATCTTTCATGAAGTTAGCTTCTCAAAGAACTTCTGACCGGTTCAGCAAGTCGTGGAGATCAGCATGTTTTAAAGAACTCCAGAGATTTTCATTGAGCTGTGCATACATTTAAAATTCCGTAGATTTGGCATCGCTGCGGATAGAGATAATATCCCTAACACAGACATCAATTCCAGAAACCAAAACACCAATCCTAACAAGAAAATTCAACCATTGTCTACAGTCATGTATTGATCGCTCCATAGCGAGGTCAGTTAAGCGCGGTGAAAGCTAAATAGATTTTCTGTCAGATTAGCCGCAACGCGTCAAATCCGGATGTTTGTGCGTCGTTGTTTAGTCTGTGAATGCGGCGGTGGTCACAACTAAAGAGGCTGAATTTATAAAGAGACGACACGTCAAAATAGGAACAATCGATTATCAGTCAAAGTCATAGGAAAAGTTGTTCCAATCGAGCAGAAGACTTGTCAAATGTATAAGATGTCGCCTCTTTACCCATTTCAGTCTCTTTAGTCACAACGTTCGTCACCGTTGAACCACCTTGACTTGAATTACTCGTACCGCGTATATCGCGATTTCAATCACACGGAAAGTTGCTGTCTACGGCAACGTTATTCAGATGAACAAGACCTATTGGACAGTTCGGTTCTCACTCACTCACCTACGACCCCAACAATCACAGAAGTGATTGCTTTGCAAAATATTCTGAAATCCTCTTAATAATTCTTCAACGTGACTGTATCCTAAAAATCTAGTGCAGTCCAGTCCGAAGGGTCTTGAAATTTTTCAGGTCCAAAATCTTATTTTTCAAGGAGAGCATGGACCGGCGCCGGTGGTGTAGTGGTAAGCGTGACTGCATTCTAACACCCCAATGGGTCTGGGTTCAATCCCAGCCGAGGTCGGTGGGATTTTTCTGAGGCATAGAAATCTCTGGTCACGTCTTCCTTCGGAAGGGAAGTAAAGCCGTTGGTCCCGGCCCATGTGTGTTGAATGGGGGAGCGATATCCTATGCAGGTGTGGATGCTGCCTTCCTGCACATTCGATTGCCGTCAATGGATGGCAATCGATGTCCGTCGGTGATTGGCACTAGATTGCAGAACAGAGACCGACGTTAAATAAAGGAAAGAAGAAAGGAGAGCATGAGCATGATTGACCGCCAACGGTTTCTACTCTGTTATTGCCAAATCCGCTGTAAGTACGGAGAGAACCAACAGACGATGCTTGGAACTAGTATTCATCCTCAATGTGTAAAACTGGTGATCTCAAGCTAGGCAAGCGCTTTGATGGAAACCGAAGGGTCCTCTGCACTTTCACGAGGAATCACAATAAGAGGGTTGTGTTTGCAGCAGGGTTCGTTTCGGTAAACGATAAGGTGAATTGATGTCCTAACTATATAACACGAGGAGCTTGGGATTGAACCCACAGTCTTCTGGTCAGTAAGCAAAAACGCTTGTCACTACACCGAAAATAGTTTTCATGTAGCTTTCATTGGAAACGCACATGTTTTTCATCCATAATCGAAATTAATGGAGTTCATCTGAATTTCACATAGTATTTATGCGATCACATTAATTTAATATGATTTTTCATATGAATGCCATCGACCTCATATTATTCATGTGATTTGCAGCTATGTGATCACAAGAAAGCTATGTGAAATTCACATAAATTTCATCCATTAGATATGTGATAAATTTTTTGAGTGTAGGCAAACTAGCTCCTTTTTAATCATAGAGTTGGTTCTATTACCTTGTTCATATTAACTGTTCCATCCAAGTAATCACGATGTTCCATTCAAGTAATCGCAGCAATCTACAGCTGCGACCGAGATGGAAAAAATAGTCATTCGAAGTGTAGATGTCAACCTGAATAAACGTATAGTTAGAAGCAGTCAAACTTTCTTTATTCTTTGAGAAGAACACTTCAGTTGGCGACGAGGATGGGATTTGCTTTCCGTTTTCAGTGGACGATGCTGGTTTCTGGGTTTCTGCTCCGAAATGCTATGGACCGAATTCTTCAAACTTGATGGATGTTCGATCATCGTAGTGTCCGACTTGATGTTGACGAGCCGCTGGAACTCGTCGATCAAAGTTTAAATTGTCACCGGAGCATCAGCCGTTTCACCTTCAATCCGGGATAGAAGCCTTGCTCGAATGTCCGCGTAGCGTGGTGCTTTGAGACCACAAACGAAAATCAAGCACTTGAAGTGATCAATCTTCAAATTCTGGTATTCGAACTTTTCACATGCCCTGTTGACTTTTCCATCGAAGATGATTATGTCGTCGGCCTCGGACTTGAGTAGCTGCATGCACTGGTAGCGTTTGTGGAATACGGTGGCCTGTCTGCCGAAGATCTTTGTGAGTGTCTTGACGGTATCGGCAAACGTGACGTCCTTTGGTAGTTTCGGAAGGATGTAGTTGACGTAGCGACTGTGAGAGGACGTGTCCAGCTTCCGGAGCAGAGGCCTAACTTTTGCTGCGTCGTCCAGACTTCGTGCGTCGCTTTCAAACAAATCCGAGTAACGGGCAAACCATTTTTCGAATGTGGTGCCGTTCTCCGGATCGAAGCAGAACTCGCTGATGGTCGTCGACAGGGATTCCAAAACTTGCTCTAGGTTCGTTGCTTGTGGAACGACCAACCGCTGAGAAGCTGCAAAATCGCTGCTTGGAGTTCTTCGTTTGTCGCCGCCATCCTTCCTCGGTTCGATTATGGAATTTCTTGAACTTGTGAGCTTCCAGAAAAATCCTCAACCGTACATCAGCAGCACAACCGAAAGCAGATTAGCAAAACAAGCGTTTCAACAAGAAGCATGGAGCGATTTCGAGGCAGTTCGTTCCGGGTGATGCTGTATATGCTCAAGTCCATCAAGCGAATTCCTGGAAATGGCAGGCTGCCACAGTAATCGAGCGTGTCGGAAAAGTCAACTACAACGTTTTCCTGGAGGATAATCAGCGGCTCCGTTCTCATGCCAATCAACTGAAGCAACGTGCGGTCGAATCTGGTCCAGATCCTAGTCCAAGCCAAGGTCCTAGTCTGTTATCGGTATTCTTCGACGGTTTTGGCCTAGACGTACCATCCGTTCCAGCAACGATACCGGCTTCAGTGCCCGACGAACTTGGTCCAGTTGATGAAGAGCTTGGAAGTGATGAGGCGGAGTATTTTTCGGATGATAGTGAGGCAGACTCGTTTACCAGCTAGATTCGAGATGGAAAAATTAGTCATTCGAAGTGTAGATGTCAACCTGAATAAACGTATATTTAGAAGCACTCAAACTTTCTTTATTCTTTGAGAAGAACACTTCATTAACAAATTGACGAATCTTGAATGTGGATGAGCCTGAGATTAGGCTCACGATGTTTTGCTCTAGTAAGCAAAAAAGGTCGCTCTAAGGCCACCAAGCCCCTCATATCACATCATACCGTTACTCGAGTTGTTGTAACCATTCAAACCCGACACCGACAACGACGACAATTTTCGCAAAATACACCATAAATATTTTTCAAATGAAAGGACCTGGGACCGCGTTTTACTGCTCAGTAAGCAAACCACTGCAACCGACGCTCGTTCAAATCCAAAAACTAAAAGCTACGAAAAAGCACTTCGGCCTTCATTCAATTCCATTTTGACGATTGTTTAAACCCTGTTTAAACAAGCTATTCAAATGAAATTTCGTTTTCGAAATTTGATTCGAAATGTATTCCAAACTAAATCAAGAGTGCGCCCTATGTTTTCTAAACATTCCGAAGCGTTCCACCCAAGATCTATCAGTTACGATTTTCTACAATAATAGCCTGGGATAAATCGTAATGTATTTCTAGTTTTCAATAAACATTGAAGTCTTTCTTAACAAATATTACTTAAGTTCATACGGGGCAATATTAGCAAAATATTTTCTACTTAAATTCTTCAATTTTGCATTATTCTTTTATAAATATGACTGTATCATATGAAATCACGTTTTGAAGCAGCTGCTTTAGTAAAAAAAACAGTCATTCACAAGGCAGTACTTCTCAATTTAAATTTATTCTACAAAAAAATAATTATTTCTTTTAAACGTTTTTTATACTAAAACTGTTCATTGTTGACCCTTCAAAAAGCCTCAAGAGAACGGAAGATTCTTACCGGTTGTTTACAAGGGCGCTGTGTATGGACCTCCCCCGGGCAAGATTTGTCTACGTAGTTAATGAACAGCCCCTCATAAGATTCAAAAATTTACTTTTAATATTCAATTTGTACTCATGATGTAAACAGTGCTTGAAACTATCAATTTGGTTTAAAATCATTCGAATTATCCACATTATATTTGTGGGTATGATTTTCTTAAGGTTACCTAATTGCCCCACTTTCCCCTACATCCACAAGAAATTAAAATACAACCTACCATTAAGGTGACCACAAATTAGGTTTTGATTTTTCTGGTTTTCTCATCGAACTCCCCCCGGGTTTTCCAGGTTTGCCCGGTACTTTTAAAATGTTCGGTTTTTCCGGTTCGCTGGCCACCCTGCCAGTTTGATGAGAGGGCGGATGGATAACAAAACCTTACCGTAAAGAAGCTACAAGACGAGGTTGAAAGGTATGCGTTTGACACATAAAATCTCAATCTGAACGTAAAGTAAAACGTGTAATCATAACATCTTATTATTGCATAATGAGCAACTGCAAACTTGGCTCAAGGAACACAAAGTAGAAATCAGGCGTTGAGTTGGGACATCATAGGCGAGAAGAAGAAGCACTTACGACCAATTGTACCTCTTGTAGTGTGTCTTTCTAATATTATAAGATCTTTGACTTCAAAGAGAAAAGAATTACCTAGAGGTAAGATTGCCAAATTTACCACACAACCGATGATGATAAAATTCCCACCTTTTTTTAAATAGACTTATTTACTTTTCTATCCAACAAGCACAACAAAAATGCACACGAATTTTGACACACTTCCTTCTCTTTTGGATGTCACTGCTCCCAGATTTGGACAACGCACTCTGATAGTGTGTGACTTATCGATTATCACATTGGTATGCTTAATGAAGCGATATTGGCGACTGGCAAAAAAATAAAACGGTACAAAGTAGAAGCTAAAATCTTAATATCATAACAGCACACTTGATTTCCTCCACAATTAGAACAAATTAATCCTGATAGCAAAATCGCTAAAATTTTCATGCTCAATTTCATTGATCTACCACGCGCACGGCGATTCGTTTTCCATCATGGTCTTATTGTTCCACGAAAATCTTCTGCGAACCAACCCTTATCACATGTTCTCAATTATTCGCTCCCCCCTCCCCAATCCCCTGGTCCTCGCTCCATCAGCCCCATCACTTTCACTTCACACTGGCGAACTTTTCTGGGAAAACTTTTACTCCATCTTAGGAAATTTCCCTCCCCGGGTTCAAGTACAAAAAAAAAAGTTCACAAACTACCACCCGGGTACTACAAGTTTGCAATAATGCAGACTTACCTATTCGATCGAACAGCTCCCCGCCGGCGGCGTACTCCAGGAAGATGTACTCGATGTCGCCCTGGGTGCGTTTGCCGAAAAATTTCAATATATTCGGATGCTGCAGGATCTTCTGGATGCAGACTTCCTTCTTGACCGAACTTTCCGCGTCCGGATGCTTTTTCAGATCGACCATCTTCATCGCGACGGCCTCACCCGACTGGCGGTTGATGAGCAGTTTCACTCTGCGGGGACAAGTACACACACCCACAACATAACGGGAGGATGGGGTTTGCGCGAGTGTGTGTGTGTGTTTGAGTAAGTGTTGAGATATAATTTTTTGGATTGCATTCGTTCCGACGGTGGGTGGTGGTGGTGGTTGGTTGGTGGTTGGCGAAAAAGGAAAGCACATGACACGATGCGAGCGGGAACAGCCACGGAGCGAGTGTGAGAGCGGTCATCCAGCGGCAAGTGAGCGTCGCGGTTTGCACGTTCCGATTCAGGAGAGAGCATGAGAAAGAGAGAAAGAGAGAAAAACAGGACAAAGACAGGATACACAAGGTGATTAGTGAGGTTGCCATGTATTACGTTTGTAGGGATGTTCATTATCTCAGTGTTTGGTTTGTTTTGATTTGGAAATCCTTATCTATAGATGGTGAACCCTTAATTCTTTACACACTATAACTTCAGTTCTTCTAACTAAATCAACAATAGCTCAACAATCAACTCGTCAATATGTTACTGAAAGGATTGAGATTGAGAAGGTTTACCTTATATAACTTTCAGCGTAAAGATTAGATTATGAAACAGGAGGTTCTTACATGGTTTACTAACTTCATTCTTCCGAAGACAATATGAATCCTGATGAATGTGGGCGTTCACATAAGTTAGTGGAATTAAATGGAAATTACTACTAATCCTTTTCTCTTCCTTTATACGAAGACAATATATCAAGAAGACCATCAACTGTCATGATGCAAGGAATAAATACAGTGGCGCTGCGCTTGAGGCTAATTAGAACCCCTACATAGAAAAATACTAGTGACGACTCTATCGAAGATCCAGAAATTTTGCAGTTTGCATTTTTTATGAACTTTAAAAAAGAAACAAATTAAATAGGGGAAATGCCTCTAATGTTGGCCTATGGATCTAATATTGGGCCTATCGCTAAAAATCTGCTATTTATGAATTTTATCTAGATGAACGCGTCATCGGGACGGTACTAATGGATATTTTTGGTCGCTATTGAAAGTTTAGTCGATTGCTGAATTTATTTTTGGGCCCAAATTAGGGGCATTTAGACCGACATTACATCCATTTCCCCTGTATACTTTTTGAGGAGATATTTGAGTTTGTTTTTACTCAAAATTACTTTTAAAAAACCATGTATATTTTTCCCAGGAAGACTTTATTCTTCTCTAACTTTGTCTTGAACGTCGTCATTTCGAGGTGACGTTTTCATGCTACAATTTATTGAAAAATTTTAAAAACGCAATTTTGAAAAAAAACAACATTTGAAATGGCCGAATTTTGAAAAAAAAAAAAGTGAATGATTGTCCATAACACACAATTTTGCAAATCGTAGAAGGTCAAGTTTTTCCGATTCGTCATTTGGCGTGGATTTGCTCCTAAGGAAATTTTCAATATTTTGAAGCAAGGACGGTATTTTACATTCCTGAACTTTGCGAGATTGTTTACATGAAATATGGCCTATTTTAAATACAGTAATGACCCGATTTTGTCAGCCACTCCCTCCGCATTTCAGACTTAGGGGCTGTTCATTAACTACGTAGACAGTTTTTTATTTTATTCTTGAGCCCCCCCCCAATTGTCTATACAAAATTTTAAAATTTTGTATGGGCCGTGGATAATTGACAACTCCCCCACCCCCTAAATTGTCTACGTAGTTCATGAACAGCCCCTTATACTTTTTAAATAATTTCACATCATCGTTGTTCCAAATCTTTCTCATTCATCTTCAAGATGAGTGTTTAAGGTGCAATAAAACCACCTGGGCATCGTAGAACATTAGAAAAGATTTTCGAAAAGAGAGCTGACAAAATCGAGTCAATACTGTATATCAGCATAAAAAAAAGAATCATGGCTCTTGGACTACGACACAATTTTAGGATTCTGATACTTCAATGCATTGGTTAGACAATTAACCTGTTAACGACCAAGTCGTTTTCGACCTCTGGACAATGCGCGATTTTTTCCATGAATAACCCAAGTATTATGCTCACGCTAATTAATCATATCGTCCGGCCATTTTCCACAGAGGTGACGCGACGCTGTTCCGCTGGTAGGAAGTGATAAAAATCCCCATATAGAAATTTAGAGAACTGGGAATAATTCTCTTTCGGTGCATATTCAGGTCGAAAAAGTGAACGACAATCTGAAGAAATTAGTCAGGGACTTTATCGTTAAACAAGCTACAATTAAATACTAAGGATTTGTCCCTATACCGTTTAACCTGCTTTACTACCAGCCCCCAGAGAGCCAAAAAATTGAAATTTGAGAGAGAAAATTTGCTCCCACTTGTATTTCTCGACATGCCATGTATTTTTATGACACTCTATTTGGGATTTCCCTTTCACAGACTACAACATAGAGTACCTGACACTACACAACATGTCTGGTACCTCTATAGAGTAAACGCTCCTATAGTTGCGGTACGTTAGAAGCGTTAGGTCTCCATGCACAACTACAGTAAACTAACGCTTCTAACGTACCGCAACTATAGGAGCGTTTCCCCTATATGCATTTCGATTAACATCCGAAGTCCCTACTTTTTTACATATTCTACACAAGATACTTTCTGCCCCGCGCCATTCATAAAATTCGGCAGGAAATCCTGTGAGGGGTGAGCTATTTTGAGTGCAGAATGTGTAAAAAAGAAGGGACTTCGGATGTTAATCTAAATGCATGTATAGAGGTACCAGACATGTTTTGCACTGCACTGTCCTCTGTGTCCTCAATTCGGAAAACAGATTATGTGTATTTTCCGATAGATGTCACCGTCAACAACAGCAATGACGTCTGATGGAAAATGAATGCAGAAGCTTGACAAAATTATTAATTGAAAGCAAGATGTTAAGGATATTCTAAGGCTCATTCTAGTAATATTGAAAACATAAATTACGTTCCCAACTTCTAACACCCCGATGGGTCTGGGTTAAATCCCAGCCAAGGTCGGTGGGATTTTTCTGAGGCATAAAAATCTCTGGTCCCGTCTTCCTTCGGAAGGGAAGTAAAGCCGTTGGTCCCGGCCCATGTGTGTTGAATGGGTGCGATATCCTAAGCAGGTGTGGAAGCTGCCTTCCTGCACATTCGATTGCCGTCAATGGATGGCAATCGATGTCCGTCGGTGATTGGCACTAGATTGCGGAACAGAGACCGACGTTAAATAAAGGAAAGTTCCCAATTTCTGTTAATTGTTTTCTTCTATCATAATGGTGATCTAATAAATAGATCACTGGACTTTAATGGGTTAAAGATGAATTCGAGGGATTCAGGATTTCTGGGGAGATTTTCAATGGAGTTTGACTACAAATTTGAGGTAATTTTGGCGAAGCATTTAAAGAAAATTTCAATGAGAACTACAGGTGATTTCTGAGTAGTTCTGAAGAAACTATTGATGAGTAGAATTTTAGGGAACTTTAAGTAAGTCAGAAGGAATTTCAAAGATCATTCAAAAGGAATTCGTGAATTAATCGCGAAGCACTTAACTGTCATAATACCGAATGCGTGTCGATTATGTGACAAAGCACGAATGTCCCCCGTTGTCGAAAAGCAAGTTTGTTAGTTTCAATCTAATTCAGAATTTAGTTCGAAAAATTCTCTGCAGAACTTTAAGAGAATTCATAAGAAATTTGGAGGAATTTCAAGAAGTATCCGGTAGGGCAGGGCAGGACACTTTTAGCATATTTCCAAACCAACTCTGAAGTAGTGTTCCAGGAGATTCTGAAGAAATTTTAACAAAAATCTAAGGAGAGTTTCAAGAGAATTCCAAGTAAATTCCAAGAGACCGCATTAGAGAAGCGTTTCAAGGAAATTCTGAGGAACTTTTCTTTATGGAATTGTGAACTGTACTCCAAGGAAATATTGGGATAAAGACTGGAAGCGCAAAATTGGTCGACACAAAATCGTTTCTTTCTGTCAAAATTCATCACAAAAATCTTATTTTTTTTTTGGTAGTTCAATTCATATATTTCCGGAGTGATTTGAGATTTGGGCGTAATTACTATTGTAAACAAACACTTCAATCACCGATTTCTCGCGAATAAAAGCTCAACCTTGAAAACTAATAACGCTATGAGGTAGAGGAATAATTCCTCTATCATTTGGTATAGTTTATTTATGAGATTAAGCATCAATTCAAGAGAAATCGACAATTGACGTCTTTGTTTACAAAAGCAATTACGCCCAAATCTCAAATCATTTCGGATTTAAAGGAAAAAATGTTCGTTTATTCTTTTGGTTTGCCAAATCCGAACTGCCGCGCCTTCCGCTTAACCTCTTCCATTCAATTTTGCACAGTGGTCTCATCGACCTTATTCGCCGCCGAACGCCAGTTAGATTTAACTGCTGCTCGTTTTCCATGGTTTTATTAGTTTTTTTGAGATTCCGTTTGACCAAGGCCCAATACCAGTTCGATAGGGCGGAGTTCTGGTCTGTTGGGAGGGTTGTGGTCTTTGGGTATCACAACCACGTTGTTCGCATCGTACCACTCGATTGCCTTTTTCTCATAGTGGCAGCTCGCCAAGTCCGGCCAGAACAGCACAGGTCTATTATGTTGCTTTAGGAATGGTAGCAACCGCTTTTCCAGGCACTCTTAGACGTAGATCTCTTGATTGATGGTTCCCGTAGTAATGAAACTGCCGCTTTTTAGACCACACGTGCATATAGCCTGCCAGACGAGATATTTTTTCGGGAACTTTGATGGTTTGATGATTTGGAAAATTTCAGCCACCTTTCCTTTTCTTGATGCGGTATAAACCTCCTGTTCCGGAAGCTGCTTGAAATCCGCCTTCATTCGTCGTCCATGACGACACAGTCGAACTTTGTGAGCAGATTCTTATACAACTTTCGGGACCGCTGCTTTGCCGACGTGTTTTGTTTGTAATCTCGGTTCGCCACCTTCACCTTCTTAAACGTCGACAACCCGGCTCGTTTCTTGGCCCACTGCACAGTAGTATGGGAGACATTGAGCTTGCCAGCGACGTCCGGATTACGATTGGCGCCG